TGTTGAGTGTTTCTCCCCTCCTCATTACGGTTTTGGCACCTCTGTTGTTGCTCAGCTCATTTAATCATAATAAACAGACCCCCCACTACCCACTACAGACACAGGCTTACTCCACACAACACTCTGTCTTCTATTACGTTTCCAACTACGCTCTCCCAACAACCTTCAACCTCTTATTTCTTAAAAAGCGTGCAGCTTCGCACCAATAGAGGCGGCCAACTTCCTGTTGAACATGAATAGCAAAATAATGATTTCATGACACGGCTCAACGAGACTTTTCGTTGGGACCTAACAGATTTATTCTCATATCCTTGTCAGTAGGGATCGGTATAGTTTTATGGATTTCAGTACACTTATCCATTTTGTTCAAGGGTTCTTTGATTATTTTGTTTGATAAAAGGCAATTTAAGAATTTAACATTGCTTTTAAAATAATACATAAAAATAAACAGTATATCTTGATCAGCAATACAAAAGGTTTCAGTATTCACGGACACTAAACAATCAGACTCCGTTGGCATCGCTGACGTTACCTGCAGTAAATAAGGGCCGATGGCAAACAGTAGAAAATTGTGCATTATTGTAGATTCATGTTAAGCTTCTTAGTCAAATGTTTAGATAAATTGTTGGTATTACGCGTCTTGAGCTTAAGTGTACATCCCTTTTGTGAAAGAGACGTATTGTACCATGTTGTGGGCACATAACACATCTTTGATGGGATAAACAACCAGTCAACCAATTATCAAAACAGTAGTTGATAAATGTTGTTCAACTGAACAACATTTTCAGTTGAACAACAGTTTCAGTTGCTACAAAATCCTTTTAAACACAGATGCACGACACGCCACTGCACTCGTTCAACCACGTTGTCTCGGGCCACCGAACAATCTACGGTCGGCTACACAACAGCCTCTCCGGCAGGGAGTCCGTTGTCTTCAGAAGGACACGTGCATGAAAATCTCCTGGACGGCTCGCCAGCGGCTAAACCTCCCGCCAACTCCTCCCGATTACCGACACTGGCTGTGGGATAATAAACAATGACATCACGCCATGTGCACCGGGACGAGACGATCCATCCGGCAAAAAAAAAAAAAAAAAACTCTTGCTGATTAACCCCCGGAGACGCCACTGCTGCAGGTTATACCCGATCCTCCATCCTCATTTCATACTGGCGAGCTGACATTGCCCATACGCTCAGAGCAGCGGGGGAAAGGCGATAAAAAAAAACAAAAAAACACACACAACTACAACCGCAATTTCTTCTCCCCCCCCACTCGTCGGTGTTCTCAGCCAAATTGTTTCAGTGGATTGATGTAAACAGCGACTCGCATGAGCCGATGATTACACTGTTTATGGAACGCACATGCTCGCGCTGGTTTCCCTCATTAATCCCATTAGGAGCTTTGGAGAGAAGACTCCACTCCATTCACATACTTTTAATAACAGCCCACCGGGTGAGATGGCAGCGTTTTTTGGAAGTTGTTTATCGGGGACCCCCCCCCACCCACCCACCCCTTCTCACGTTACCTCGCTCCTCATAAACACCACGCTGAACGAAACAGCGCCGTTGGTGCGTGCGTGTCAAGACTGTAATGTTCCACCAGTGTGAGTACGGTATCTATTGCGTCACAAAAAGAATGTTATGGATCTCACATGACAAAAATGAAACCTACCGTGTCCCTGAAGCCGTCATATTTGTAGATATGTCCTGAGCCGGTGCCCAGCTTGATGCCGTGACCTAAACACACCCGCCTCCATTGGGCCAGGTTGAGATCGCCCGCCGGGATGCTGTCCACCTTCCCCGTCTTGCTGCTCTTATAAACTACACTTTGTTTGCCGAAACGCAGCCGCCCGTCGTTCTGCAGCGACAAGGGGAAGAGGCACAAACGGACATGGGTAAATCAGAAAAAACAAAACATGTGTTGAACTGAAACTGCCCATTTGGAGATTAATTGTTTTAAGATGTTTCATGTAAAAATGGTAGGAATTCGTTGGTGGTGAATGTAATGAGTAGATTAGCACTCATCACATCCCTATTTCTAAAGGGTCGTCGTGCCAAGTGTAAGTCGCTTTGGATAAAAGCGTCTGCTAAATGACCTGTAATGTAATGGAATGGAATGGATAACTCCTTAAAACTAATTTGCAAAACAAATTAAATTCTACCCCTAATATAAAATTTAAAAAAATCACGAATAATTAACAGGATCACGTTTCATTTTGAACATTACACGGCTACATTCAAAGACACAACCTGTAATAAAAATATATCAGTGTATACCAGCGTGAGTGTGTGTGTGTGTGGACATGGTGACAGCTGTCTGATGAGGATACTGACCCACGAGCCTTTGACCTCCTGGTAAATGTCGCTGAACTCCAGCGTGTCTCCCATCTCAGCTACAGGCGAGGATCCTCTGCGGACAGAAGAAGAGTTATCACGCAGAACCGAACAATCCGACGGTCTTTGTACAAAAGTCACTGGGCTCCATTGCGTCTGGAGCATCAATTCCCCACGTGTCTTTTTAACAGCTATTATTTCTGCCACTGTAAGATGAAAACATGGTCAGACACTTAATGAATTAGGGGATGAGTCCACAGAAAGCTGCCTTGGTGTGATTGTTAATACCACGCCTTGCATGGGATGTCTTTGTGTTTTTTTATTTATTTTATATTGTAGCATGCCTTACTAGTGCAAGCAACCGTTACTGTGCACTACATTTGAAGAACCGGGTGGAATTGCGAGCTAATTTTTAGCAAACAGTTTACGCTAACTGTGAGCCAACAGGGACATCCACCATCCGCACATTTACATTGTTATTATCTTCTAACATAAATCAATAAATACCCGATAATACCCGTTGACCGGTCCAACAGTTGTTGGGTAAAAACGACAACTAACGTCCACGATGTGCTACTAACAATAGCTAGGCTAATTCGAACTGCTCGCAGTGCGCTTATTTTCAACTACGTTGCAGCACGGAGTTTAACAAGCAACACTGACCACAAGCACCGCCCGAATAGAGACGCGGTGTGCATCATTCCAAGCGCTCTAGTTGGAGTAGGCCGGTGAAAAGAAATCAACAGAGATTCAGTGTTCATTTTGAAAGCAAAACAGCTCCACGCAAAGCACGCCGTCGAAACGGAGTCCTTGTTGAATACAAACATACCAAATGAGTTAGTAAACAAGCGCTCGAGTAGAATTTTAAACTGCATGTCTTACAGTCAACGTGATGAAAAGCTTCGCTTGTTTCCCGCGTGTTGCATCGGGAGCTAGCGCGAAACGTCACCGGAAAGAACCAGCAACTAGTTGTATTTACTTCCGGTTTGACAAAGACTTTTCGCTTCTCGCTTGAAAACAGCCGGTCGGAAAATGTGTTTTTCGACTGAGACGTTTTTGTGGTGAATAAACTCTTGAGCTGCTTACGACAACCGCTGTTTGAAGATGTAACGTTACGTTGAAGTAGTCCGCCTGCAGGGACCACTCATCACCACGAGGTGGCACACGACCCTTCTCATGGAACGTTGGCAGTTATATAAATGTAAAGGGTTTTATATGTTCTATTATAATTCTTTCTATGGTCAACATAGAAAATAAAACGATACAGTAGACAGAGAAGAACAGTACCGGGGTTTACATCCAATTGTGTATCAATTAATAAGAGTGAAAAATGGATCTGAAATAATTTACTTCAGTGACGGTCTTGATATTTATTTGTATTTTGAAACAGCGTGATATAACAAACTTTTTGTGACTGCGGGGAGTACCTGGATTAAATACGAATCAAAGAATATTCTACTCACGTGCAGATTAACATGACTGGAGCTTTTTGACAGAGATAAACCGTTACTTCCCCTTTACCCACTGATTGAAGTCAGTTTGTAGGCCCCTTCATTTACTAGAATATAACACATTAATTAAAAACACGTGGCATACACTTAAATAATGCAACTGATATAGACACACCTTTAGAACAGGGCCTCGGTATATTCAATTAGGAAGCACAGTGTAAATGTGAGACCCCAAAATCATTTAAATCAAATTAAATCAAACCACTCTATGGAAAAATATTTAAATTGGAACCCGGACAAATCGTCATCGTCGGTTCGGCTTCTACTTGAATTTCCAACCTCGTGTATGCAGATAATCACGTGCGTGCCGCGGTGTGAGCCCCGGTGGTATGCTGAGTGACAGCCGAAGGCGAGAGAAGAAGATCTCCGTAATCCAATAAAAAAATAAAAAATAAAAGCCGAAGTATGAGGGGAGAAGAACGAATGGCCGTGCAGCAGTCAAATACTTGTACTCGTTCCCCTTTCTCATGTTTCCTAACGGGTGTAAAGTGTGTGTCATGCTCCATTGACAACGTGTTTTTCGTAATACAGTTTATGTGAGGCCTCTACATTTATAGGCCCCAGCGTGCTTATAATATTCCTGTCAACAACTATGCACAGGAAATCTTCCCTGAATTTTATTCGTTTATTCCCTGATATTTTTTTGTTATTCATATATACCCACATGTTATTTCAAAATGACGTTTGGCCTTCCTTGCGTAAAAAAAGAAATATTTTTTGTTGTTGTTTTTAGTGTTCTAGTCTCCCGAGTAGGCCGCTGATGGGGAAAAAATAGACGCCTATACAAAAAAGGCAAGAAACGGCCTGATGAATTAGAGAGAAAAAAAGCCGAAAATGGAATGTAACTTCTTCTTATTTTCAGGATGATTTGAGAGTCGAAGAGCTGCCGGCGTCTCCGTGAACTCGCGCACCTGATTAGAAGGGAAGCGGATTACAGATCAAACGGCCGCCGACCCGATCGCGCGCTCGGGAGGATGACGAGCGGAGACAGACGCGCACATGATTTGTGACGTGTTCCCAACCCGGTGAATCACCGGCTCCGAGGAGGAGGACAACGAAAAAAGGAGAGACCGGGGATGGGGAGGAGGGGGGGGAGAGAGAGAGAGGGAGAGAGAGAGAGAGAGAGAGAGAGGGAGGAGGTACATAAAGGCTGCTGCGTCCTTCAGTCCGTCACACGGACCACACACGTCAAGCCGGCGGAGCATCGAACCATGAACCGGTTCATGTGAAAGCAAACCGATCCACAAGAAGGAAAAGAAGACGTTCTTATCGGGGCCGTTAAAATTCAACAGTGGACCGAGTTGCGAGAGCGGACTGAACGGAATAAAGGGATTGGGATAAAAAGAAAATGCTTTGCGCAGGTAAGTGTTTAATTCAATTATTTTATGGGAGTTGTATATATATATACTGTGTTATTTGGTCATATATTTACGTCAAATATTGACGTCGTTTATTGTTTATTATATATTTTTTTGCAAATCAAATTAGTTTTGTAAATGATGAAAATATATGCCACGTGTTCGCCGTTTTTTGCGCGATAAAATATCATCCATCCTGTGGGTTGTTTGAGCATTTTGCAGCCAACCTTTAAGTTTCTAATTGTGCATGGTCTTATATTACATTCAATTGTTGTTTTTTTGTAATTCTAGAAAAAAAGAAACGCAAATTGTATTTGCAACGTTTTTAAAATCCCATTTTAGTTTACATATGGATACAAATTTCTATCCTTTCTTTACAAGGAGATTGATGGCAAAGCAACAGATGGGTTTGGATCTACCAAAGAAATACATACAAAATCATGTGCAGATCAAGCAAACTTGTTCAACACAAAATCAAACTTTTGTTATTTTTAGAGATGCTGTTTTATCATTAAAAAAATGTAAACAGGGTTGTGAGATTAACAATAAAGGGGCCGATGGGGGTATATAGAGAGAGGGAATCCTGAAAGAAAGTGTGTGTGTCAAAGAGAGAAGGGGAGGTGTTCTCATTCACAGTAAAAAATGACCCGGGTTGAGGAGGTCAGAGGCAGCTAAAGCCCCTGTCTGGTTAGCTGTCAGTGATATGAGAAAGTACATGATTCAAGTTAGTCAGGGTGTCAGCTCGCACACACACACACACACACACACACACACACACACCGCACACACACATTTCTCATTCTTTCGTGGTGCGGCTGCTGTTCTCCGTCTATGAAAGGATGGAAAGGGAGGTGACAGAAAGTCGTGCAGAGGAGAGCTTGAAATGATGCGCTGAAGTGAAGATCACCAAGTTTGTCTTTTCCTCTTTCTCTCCCCCCTCTCTGTCCACTACAGCTCACCATCCCTCCCTCCTTCCTTCCTCCCTCGCTCTCCTCTAGGTGGTCACACCGCGAGGCCAAATGTGCTGATGGCCGGCCGGTTCACATGACGTGAAAAAACAAAAAACTGCTGCTCCCTCTGATACGCAAAGCAAATAAATACACGCCGAGCTCACACCAACAACACAAACACACACAAACAAACGCACCTCGCCAGGTAGACACACAAAACAACACATAATTGCACATGTTTTTTCTCTTTCTCTCTCACACACACACACACACACAGTGACAAGGTTTGTTATTTCTGTCAGGAGTGAATTAGTGTCGGTGTGTTTCAGATAAAAGATTTAGTGTGTGTTGGACCTGCAAGCTTAAGCACACCAGCCAAAAGGAAGAAACAAAGGAAGCGTGAAAGGAGAGAGGGACAGAGAAAGACAGAGAGAGGGGGGAGGGAGGGAAGGAAGGAATGGTGGAAGAGAAAAAGTGACCCTTTCACATCTTTTGACTCGCTCACCACCGTCCTCAATTCTTCACGGTATATATGTGGCTGTCAGTAGGATTTGTGGAGGTGGGGGGCGCTGAGGGGGGGTAAAGAGAGGTAGGGACGGATAAAAGTAAATAGAGGGAGAGAGAAGCAGAGAGGAACTGGCGGAAGAGGGGTTAATGCAGTGCAGATTCCCGATTGACAGAAGTTAGCAGCACCCAGAGGGAAAGAGAGAGAAGAGAGTAGGGGGGAATGATATAAAATGAGTCGGTCACGCTTTGAACAGTTACACATGCTGTTTACATTTTTCCCAAATTAACATGGCCCCTCGCTTCAGAAAACTCTCCCTCTCTCCCTCCCCTCCACCAACTTCTTTTCCTATGCCTCCTTCCTTTCAAATCCCCTCTTCCTTCTCCTTCTCTCCTCTGTCCCTCAAGACCCCCAGAACATCTCTCCTCAGTCTCCTGATTCAGACCCTTAATACCGCGGCGAAGAATCTCAAGCTCCTCATTGATAACATTTTCATTTGTAATCTCCAGAGAGGAAACTAGTTTTGGTAACAAATAACAAGAGATACACAAGAAAACTGCTCAGCATACCACAACATAGTTAACCAAAGGTGCAGCTTATGCATCAATTATAAGAAAAAGGATTGATGTGATAAATACATGTACATACAGGCACCACATACACAGATCAGTAAAAATAGTGGGATCAAATAAATAGTTTACATAGAAAAGTTGAAATATAAAACAAGTGAGCCAACAAATCTTTTCAACAACAATATGTCTGCAGATGGCTTTTTCTATCAGAAGACACACCATTTCCTAGACATGACATCATTATATCCCGTTTTAAAAGTCCCAAACTCCTTCATATTCAGCATGGGCCTGTAATCAAATTAGACAAATTCTTTCTTATTTGACACGATTTCACTTTAAAGAAAAACGGTTCAAATTATGAATCCACTAACAGAGTGGTCGTCATTTTATTTCCTGTCAACTAACAATAATTTGATTAATTGTTTGATTCCACAAGTTTCTCTTAAACCTGGTGACGGAGCAGAGGCATTGAAATTATATCTTGTCTTGTTCTGTTTGGGTGTATTATTTAGGAGAAAACCATGAGGGGAGATCGTGAGTGCAGCGAGGGGGCTTTCAGTGGTAAATTAAAGACCGAAGGTCTGAAAAGGGAAGGAGGAAAGATGTAGATGGAGGGAATGAGTGGAGCCAATTAGTGAAAGGAAGAGAGGGGGACGGTAATTAGGGAGAGTAAGGAAGGAGACTTTAAAAAAGAAGGTTTGATGTTTCAGAAAGATTGAGGGGCAAAGGGAGACGCATGAAGGTACAACAAAATTGAAAGCAAACATAGCGATAAAGCTCGGCCCGATTGGAATCCACAGATTTAAAAACACAAATGCATGGATGGATTTGTTTATACGGTGAAGAGGGGACACAGACATTGGGCTAAGAAGGGGAAGTGCACAGAGGACATTGAGTTTACGACCAGTGAGACATAGTTTCACAAAGAGATTCTGGGCACAAACAGCAATTTTATTGGCTCCTTCGATTGTTTTCTTTCATCTTTGTTTTTCTGGATCACCGATGTCGCTTGGCTGCCCGTGCCGGTGCCAGGAGGATCAATTCTAAATTCAGCATGAACAAACTACAGATGATGGAATTTCTTGGAACAAGAGATGGGAAAAATGTCTTTCTTATATGTATTTATTCAGGATAAGGTTGTGCAAATATGGATCTCTAGTGCACAATCTGCATGTGTGCGTGTGTGTTGAGTTAGTAAAGGAATGCACATTTGATTGAGTACAGACTGCACATAAATCTGGCATTTAACTGTACACAGACACAACACTGACCCTGACCCCTGACTGTCAATGTTACCAACTGAACTGAACAGAATTGCAACCCAAATGAAGAATTATCAAATGGCCATCAGATTTCTTTCGGTCTGAAATGAAAAACATGAATCTGATCAAAAGTCATTAGCGGGTCAAATTTAAATCAGATGGAACTCTGAGTGATGTGTCTCCTGACGGTAGCATGAAACATGGCTGGATACATCATTTTCCTGTGTAACGGGGTCTAATATTGTCCTGAACGGTGACTAGACAACTCACTGAAGAGTGAGGAGTGAGAGGACGCAGTCGGCGGCACGTTGTTTGCGTTCTGGGAAACGCACTGCGGTTCCAACATTTTGTTTCAAAATCGGGCCGCATTGCCTGATGAATGTTAAACCATGTTAGAGGCTCACCAACAGTTTGGCAGGACAATTGACTGTGGTCACCCTAGGCATCGTTGCGCTGCACAATGGAACAATTAAACATCCAATTTGGGCCGATTTCCAACATCTTCTACTTGATGCTGATGTTTTCTTTCTGTTTAAGACTTCTTTTGTATGCTTAATGCAATGAAGGGCAACCTCTTTTAGCTCTGCAGACGTATTTTTTTCTTGGACCAGGCTGGAAAGATTACCTCGTGCATGGATTTCCTACATTACCAAATTCTGTTTTAGTACTTTGTTTTAAATCCTCTAGTGGTGGTGCATGTTGGAAAAGATGAGATAGTCCTCTTGGATGGAGGCAGTAGAACGCCCACAGCCCACTGGTTTACCAAAACACTGTCTGAAACTCCAGATCCAGATCTGAAGGGTGCAAGGTGGCGATCCTCAGTTTTTTACCTATCAGGAGCTCAGAAGCTCCGTGGCTGAAGCTCACGTTGAGCTCTGCAACCGCAGATGGCGGCCAGACACCAGAGCGGGATCTAACTTTAGAACCAGCGAACAAACCGTGCGATCGGTTGTGCACATAATATGTGAAACCCTGATGGGTAAGTGTGTCAAAATACGTTTCACACTCACAGCAGTGCACATGAGGGTGTGTCATGGTTGGCGGCTGCAGGGAACCCCTGTGTTGCTGTAATGCAATTCTCCCACGGAGAATGTTCTGGTTTCCAACCTGCCCTGCGGAGTGCGCCTCCACTGCCAGGTACACAGCCCCCCCCCCCCGGCTGCAGGGCTCAGCCTTGAAGTCGGGCTACATGCCGCCTACAAAGTGTATTGCTCAATGTAATGTTATATAACGACAACCTGGTCCTGGGTTCCAGTTGTCTTAGTTTTTTGGTACAAAACAGCAGTCGTTTTAAGCGCAGGACGCTTTTAAGACATGTCGGCGCTCCACAACAACAACAAGAGGCTTTCACGTCTGGCAATCATCTCCGAACATGTGGCCGCAGACAAAGCAAAGCAAAGCAGTTTGGAACCGTTTGGGTTGATTTTTACCAAGTAGAATTTTCTTTCCGTATCCCAGGCTCCTTTTTTTGGGTACCTGTTTATTCCTTCTGAATGCCACCCTTGTTGCCTGTGTGTGTGTCCCCTTCCTTCAGGCCTGTTTACTGGGAGATGTCGTGTTGATTTAGGGGTGTTTTGATGCTAATGGAGGAGGAACCGGCGCTTGATGAGCTCCAAATGTTCAGGCGTGGTTGAAAGATGCTTATTGCTTCCGACAGGTGATGAGGGTTTTGAGGGCGAGGAGATCGGACAGGGCTTGGCTGGCGCAGGTTGCACTATAGCCGACTGATTTCAAGGTGTGTGCGGGAGCATGTGGGAGTTGCCCAAGTCCAACCTGTGTTTTAGAAAATATTCTGGGGAAAAGCTTTGAGGAAGCCGACAACTCAGGGTCAACAGGTAGTGGGCGTTCTACCAGGCCCTCACTTCTAATCCTGTTTTAATTTCAAACTGCCGGTTTCCAAAAACTGTCATTCAATCTGCAACTTCAGCGAGCTTCAGCTTGTTAGGCTGAAAATGTCACGACAGTTACTCGTTGTTGCCATGTCGTCATTTCAATTTGTAACACAACCAAAGTCAATTTATTCTGGTGATTTTCTTTCTGACATGTTTGGGCAAAGGCCAAAAGAACAAAAACTATGTAAATACAACACATTTTTGAAATTGTTGTAATTACAATTATGCTACACATTTTTTTGTATGAGTAATATGGAGTGCGTGACATCATTGGGTTTCGACCCAACCCGTGCGTGCTGATGCGTCAAATGTAAGCGGTTGAGTCAGAAGAAAAAGGTGTCGACATTTTAAGGTCAGAACTTGTTTTTCCTAAAACCCCTGAATGCGCGTTGAGTGTTTAAACCAGTTAATTTTCTTCCCGCGGGGCCCATGACGGATGAAAGAAAAAAGGGGCAATAGAGGGAGAGCAGGAGAGCTAATCGGGGTTAATTGGCTGCAGTTATTTTCCCCAGAGGCATAAAAGGGATAAAAGCCATGGGGGGGTATGATGACAAAGACAGAAAATGGGCAGTGACTCGTTCGAGAGGACAGAGGGATTAAATTGATGAGGCAACGAGAGACCCGAGTGAGTCAGAGACAGAGTCAGAGAAAGTTGACACACATTGTGCAACACATATTCCAGACCTGTTGTACAGCAGCACTTTTTACCTTTGATTACAAGCATGAAGCACTGTCGCCTGGGTGTCAGGAGGAGGGGGGAGTGCAGAGAGGAAGGAAAAGGGTGACAGAGACCAGAGACAAACCAAAGACATGTGTGTGCAGTGAAGGTGAAGGTGTGCGGAGACGGCGAGCAGGGGACGAAGAGGAGTGGACGTACACGAGCGCCCGTAATGTAGAAAACCACCTTTCGCCTCCAATTTTCTCTGTTTGAAATCAGAGAACAGGAGAACCTAAAAGGCTTCTAAGCGTAACATTCTCCCTGTGGCCCCCCTCTAAAAACACACACACACACGCGCTGATCAGCATCATTGTATACACTCGCAGCAATGTACATTTCATCCATATATAAAATTACGGCTACAAACATCCTCACAAACACTCACGCAGTAATATAAAACACCTACACAAACACTCTGAAAACTAAAGTCCACAGCAAACATGCAACACATTTGTGTTTGTGATTGTAAAGAGAGCCTCATGTCTGGGATCTGTACATGTGTGTGTGTGTGTGTGTGTTAATGCGACTCTTTGCCTGACAGGCTGGTGCATTGAACATAGGTTCTCTGAAGCTATTAAGTGAGGTTTTATTTGAAGCCAGAGTAAACCTCCCACAGCCAGAATCCTCTAAAATTAGATTGGAAACGGAAAAAAGCTTTATTGGCAGTGTCCGATGACTCCGACCTGGCAGCATGTAAACAGACGAGGCCATCGCCATAGAGACAAAGAAATAAACCAGAATATTGTAAAAAAAAAAAAAGAAATACTATAAACAGTGTGATGGCGCAGCAACCGACTGTAGCTGGACGTGATTTCTGTCCGTTGAGTTCTCGAATCATCATCATATTAATTAAAAACGAAGCCTGAGAAAATAATGGCTGAGGTACATTCCCTCTTGTTATGATTACGAATCCCTCTTCAGTGTGTGCTGATTATCACCCATGACGCCAGTGTCCTTAAAGAAACATCCCGAACCGCTTTAATCACTTTTTGATTTTCTCCACAGTGCATCAACGCCAGCTAGTCTTGCTGTTGGCCGCTGCCATGGCGACGGCGCTGGATACTTCGCCCAACCTGGCCAGCGAGAGGAGTTCGATAGAAAGCACGTACGAGCTGACCAAATACCTGGAGTACCAGCTCAAGGAAATCAAAGACATATATGTGAGCCGGGTTTTGTTTCAGATCGCTTCTTCACTTCCTGTTAAAGCCGTTCAAATCTATAGTTTTACAATAACAATGTGGCAACATGAAACCAATGTGAGCACTTGAATGGCTCGTGGTGAACCCACAGAGGATAAACCCCCGAATCCACGGCTCCTCTCGGCTTCATCGCGCCTTAAAGCTCTCATTGGGTCGTCTTAAAACCAGAGGACCTGCTGTGCTCCAAACAGTCAGAGTGATGCGGCCAGTGAACATTGTGGGCATTAAGCAGCCAAAAAGGTAGATATTTCCCACAGATGAAAAACAGAGCTGAAAGAGAGCTGACATTGGACTAATGGCTAAACTAATTCGGAAGAGAACATGAAGCCAAAGTACAAATCCATCACATATTGTCTCGCTACCGGAGTTTTTTCCGCCTAGATGATGTATTATTACAGACGTGACAGAATCACTCACGTTCAGTATAACTTCCAAATGAAGTCGTTGAGATAATCTTTCTAAGCTGTTGGCTCGTTGACAACCTGCCTGACCTCACGTTTCTGGGCTCGGCGAGCGTAGCGACAGAGCTCTAGAAAGCCCAAACTGTTGAAAATACGTAATAAACCAGAATCACCCGTAACCTTCTCCGCCCTGTGTTTATCCCCTCCAGCTGACCTACCTGGGCCCTCCATTCAACGAGAAGGACTTCTCCCCTCCTCGGCCCAACAGCACCGCTCTGTCCCTGCCCAGCGCCGCCACCCGCCTGGAGCTGTGGCACGGCCTGGAGAACCAGGCTCGGCTCGCCCAGAACCAGAAGGCCTACTCCGTCCTGCTGGCCGCGGTCCGGGAGTTGGCCCGCTCCACCCTCTGCCCCTCCCTCAAGACCTCCCTGCTGCACTTTTGCACAGGCTTGGACGGGCTGCTGGGCTCCATATCTGCGCTGATGACCACCCTCGGCTACGCGCTTCCTCCTCCCTCCGCTGGCGCCGGCGAGCTGCAGTACCCTCCGAGGGGGCCGGGCGGCGACCGACCCGCTCCGCTGATGACCCGGAGCCTTTACAGGTCAAGAGCCGGGACGAGGACGACGCCCGGTCAGCGGAAACGTAGCGGAAAGACGCCGGCCCGAGGAGAGAGGGGGGACGACGTCACTGTAGAAGCGGTGGAAAAGAGAAGAGGAAGGGAGGGGAGGAGAGCGGACGCGACCGCAGCCGGAGGAGGTGGTGGCGGCGGATTGAGGGAGAAGGGAAGAGGAGAAAGAGGGAGGAGGGGGAGGAGGGAAGAGCCGCCGAGCGGGAAGCGGCCCGAAGGAGAGAGAGAAGGGGAGCAGGAGGACGAGCAGCTGGAGCGAGAGGCAGGCGAGGAGGGATGGAGGAGGCGGAGGCTGTTGAGCGTCGGCGGGGATGGCGGGGAGGAGGAGGCGCAGCGCGACCCCTGGGCAGAAGGGTCGTACCCGGCTGCGGGCGGCTCCACCTTCCTTCAACTGCCGAGCAATCAATACAGCTACAATCTGAACTCTCGTCACACGGACACACTGAGAGAAGAAGACGGATTTATTGTGGAGGGACGCAGGGGCTTGAGGGGTGAGGAGGAGGAGGAGGAGGAGAAGCAAACAGACACGGAGGCCCCTTACTCCACTTTCCATCACCAGCGTCGGCCTCCTCGCTCCCTCCTCGCTCCCACCCTCCAGCCTCCTCTGTCCACACTGTCCTTACTCTACCAGTTCGGGTCCGGTGAGGAGCACACCCTCCTCCCCCGCCCGGTTCCCCTGTCTTTACAAAGGGGGACCTCCCTCCTTTCACCTCCCCTTTCGACTCCGGTCCTCTCCCCCGCCTCCCCCTCCTCCTCGCTGCTGTCGGTGCGGCCGACGATGAACGACTTTGCCAGGAAGGTGGAGGGCTTTTGGATATTGAGGGAGCTGCAGACTTGGCTGTGGCGCTCGGCGAAGGACTTCAACCGCCTCAAGAAGCGACTCAGAGGCTGAGGCGACGACGCGGAGACGCTCCGAGGGCAGTTCATCACACAGTCTATTGTTTGCACCAAATGAGAGCGAACAAACCCGAGAGCTCGACAGACAATAGAACATTAAAGCATTCAGTCACGCCGTGCTGGAGTAAGTGAATGAAGAACGATTTGGGAGCACTGACGGAATATAGGACACATTACGGGCAGCGCCGCCCGGCCCGATGCACACAGCAGCTCATTGAGCGGGACACACTGTGGCTGGGCAGAGCACCGGACTGCACGGCTCATAGATCAACAGAAATACCACCGTAGGTGGTTCCACACACACAGGGGGGGGGTAGGCCGAGTGACAAACAGTGTAGCCATTGAGTTAAAGCCGATTCAGTGATCTCCAGATGTGTGAATCAGCAAACGTTCATCTTCTGTAATGGAAGAAAACTTCTGGATGGGTGGAAGACAAAAGGAGAGGAGGAAATGGCCGAAGGGGATGAAGAGGAGGAGAGGAAGAGGAAGACGGGAGGAGGCGTGAGTCAGGGGGGGTGAGCACAGCTTTGCTGAGTAATCAGAAGTCTGCTGGTCAGTTACAGTAACCCCACAACAGCGCTACACATACTGTGCAGACACACACACACACACACACACACACACACGCTTTTGTTTTCACTGCTCACACATTTGTGCCAATTTCGTATTGATGTCACTGCTGACACACATGGTTAGCTTGAAGCGTTTTACCAAACGGTACCACAGTTTTGTGTTTTTTGAAAATAGAGTATCGGGAAACATTTAAGCATTCTTGCTGGGAGTACAATTGTAAAATGGGTACCACTTTCATATTTGTACACTAAAATATGAATATAATATAAAGACTGGAAAGAAGGGGACGCACTAGCCAGATAAAACCCCCCTTGAGCACCTTTAAACTAATCAACAAGTAAAATCTTGTTTGTTTAATCCAGACTAAAAACCATGTTGCAGTATCAGAACCACACTAAGAAACAATCCGGCACATGTATTGGACAGATTGTGACATTTAAGGTGTATGTTTATTTAACATTTTACATTCATTTCCAAAAGGCAGATGTGAGAGTGGAAATACATTTTCTAACTAATCCATTTAGTAACTTCACACCTCTAAACAGAAAAATTTGGACACATTTATGTGAATCTTTTGTGCCTTTAGACACATGAAATTAGACACTTTTTCCTTGATTTATTTTTGTGAATAAATCCACTGTTATGTCTCTACAATGTGCGTCGGCTGACACGGCTAAAGGTTATGGATCATATCTCTATAATATTTATTGAACGAGATGTTTATTTATTTTTCTCCGCGGTGTGAATATACTGTAATGTAACTCAAGAGTGAATAAATACGAGCTTTTGTACAGAGCGCAGAGTGTTATTGGTCTTTTGGGAGCCTTTTGGGAGGGGAGGCAAAAAAAAAATGCTTATGGGATTTTTGTTTGCTATGGTTTCAGTTTTATAGGGATGGTTTCGGGTGATTGGCACAAGGGGAGAGGAGTTTGGGGTCAGCGAGACAAAGGCCGGCTCACATCCATCACAAGAAAGTAGAGCAAGAGAGACGAGAGAGTTTTTATTCGTCCGTCCCGGTGAAAATTTACGATCTCTCATTTTTCCTCTTTTCCCACCTCCCACTTTGCTTTCTATTCTCATCACACTATCTCACGAAGCTCCTCTTCCCCCCCACCCCCACCCCCTCCCCCCAAAAACCCATCTCTCTGACATGTGACAATGAGGGATTTACATGAAACGGGCACAGGTACCCCCCCCCACCCCCCCATGCCCCACATCCTAATCCCACAAACCACAATGCTCTCTTGTTGTGTCTGTGTGTCAATGCCGCCACGCTGCCTGCTCTTCTCTTCTCTGCCACACACGGACTCTTTTACTGCTTCCTCACCTGTTATCTTTGTTCCCCCCCGTCCCGTCCCATCCCACACACAAACACGCACACACACGCATGCACACAAACACACTTGCTCTGAAGCTCACTGGCTCCCTCTCTTTGCCCAAGGCCAGATATTAAAGGATCAATGAGAATCTCCTTTCCATCACCTTTGAGCTACACACCTGCACAAAACAGCAAACGCCCACCTTGACACACACACACACACACATGCACGCACAAATCAGGACCATGTGCTGACAAACAAGTGTCCACACGCACCTTGAAATCATCATCATCATCATCAAGGGAAAGGGTTAACGCTGACGGGGACGTGACTTAACACACTCACAAGACGGGGTATGCTTTTTACATTCAAGTGAGACTGAAGGGCCGCCAGTCGTCAACAAAGGCAGCTTTGTGTAGTCTGCGCGCGTGGGTTTGCTCTGTGTGCGTGTATTGTCGAGTGGGCTTGCAAGCGCAGCACGTGTGTGAATCATTATCTCTGTGTCACAGCTTTGTTGGAATAAGGCCCGTCATGCGTAACTATCTAACAGCCATCACTCAGCGTTGCCTGTCCCCCTCTCTCCCTCTCCCTCTCTCTCTCTTTCAGAGACAAACGGCTCCAACTATAACGCTCAACACAATCGCCAAACCCCGTTGGTGTGACTCAGCTGGCGAGACACCGCCGATAATATCGGATACCATCAGCAGGCGACATCGACGCGCTCGCCGCGTTCTGTTCAAACCGGTGCGCACTTCTTCTTCTGCTCTTTTAAGTTCGCTCCATCGATCCACACTTTGCCTCCTTTTAGTGTAAGAAAAACGCGTGGATTAATGGATGTGTCCATGTCCCTCGTATACGGTGTCATAGAGTTGAAAGCTTTTTGGAAAAATCCATTTAATCACAGGTATTTTTTTAAGCAGATATACAGCAACAATAATGGACATTAAAGCTGATGCTCGGTAGACGGTACTAAAATATTGAGCAATCCAATAAGCCCTGAACTATTACAGTAATGTTACATGAATCAATAGGCCAAACAAATGAAGAGCCCATCGAAGGTGGTCCTTCTTTACCCTGATAATATTAAACACGATTTTTGTGTTGTCTCCCGTGTGCCTTTAAGATCCTCAGATACCCTTATACTCACACCTCCTCTTTCTCTCCGTCCGTCTGTCTCTCTCCTATTTATCTGCTTTTCTTTCTTTTTCTTTTTTGGTCACACTCTGTCTCCCAATCTTTTTGCCACATGTCCTCCGGCCCTCGTCCACCGTGTCCACGCACACGCCATCCTCTCCCTAACGGCCCGAGAAGCCACTTTGTGTCATTTTCTTGCCACTTTTGCTCCATTTCAACCCCCCATGTGTCCCTTTCCCTCTGCCACAATCAAAGCCTTTTGAAGCCTCCCCCCTAATTCCCTCGGCCACCCCCGCGTCCTCTCCCTCTTTTCTTTTTTTCCATCTGTCTGCCTCCTCGTCTCCTCTTCCCCCTCTCTTCTGCTCACCTGCAGCACATAAAAATTCCTCTTTTCTTTCTTCAGAGGATAGTTCAGTCTCTTTGGGATTTACTGCATTCCTCTAAGCGTCCCCCCCACCCCCCTTCTCTCTATATCGCCCCCCCCCCTGTTTCTCTCTGTTTTTGGCAGATCTTGTCGTTTGTCTTTTCAACATATTTGTATCCCTCTTTCTCTCTCCACCCCTCCATGTCAGTGTAATAGCACTCACTGGTTCCATATACCTGTCGTTTCCATGAATATACCCAGTAGCACCCGGTGTACCTGCCCCACCTGGCCTCTCCCTCCTCCTGGGCTTCTGCCACGAGCTGAAACATCCCGCCTCCACTTACTTAGCTGGAGGGCGCAGGGTTGGGCCGCAGCTCCTCGCCGCCGTTTTTCCTCTTAGGTGGGCAGGGGGGGAGGGGCTTGGCGTTGGTGTCGGTGGAGGTGAAGGGGCGCTTCAGGGCCCCCGGGGGCCCCTGAATGAGGATGATTTACGAGTTAATCAATCGGTCGTCCGTGTGAGTGAGCAGAACGGCGGAGGCGTGTGAGCCCTTTCATGTCGCTGTCTGTGCTTGTTGACTTAGTCTCTTAGGAAAACACCGCGAGCTGTCGCTGCCCGTGTTGCTCAGCCCGCCGACATGTTTTCAAAAGCAATTAGGGAGAAATGGGGCTGGGTGCTCATTCATCTGATGGTTGAATGGTTTGAATGGGTGGGTGCATGTGGGGCGTCTCACAGAAGACACGTGTGCATGAGGCACGTTTTGGTCCCAGAAGCCAAGGTGAGCTTCGGTCAACTCATCAATGTCCAGGAGGCGGAGGGGACAGTAAACAACGTGACTCCTCCTGGAGTGATCTCGATCAACAACGGTTGAAACTTTCCCCAACATCCACCTTCGTGGCTCATTGACTTGATGGATGAGATGAGAAGGATGTGAGGGACATTTGTTTTATTTTCAGGGACGATAACGGTGCAGATTTACACCTCAACGTCTGCAATGAGTCAGAAAATCTAAAATAAACATATGACAAGACAAACTGCGTTGACTTGTCTTTAAAACAGTTCACACGAGTAATCGTTCAAACCGAGCGCTTCAGCCTCAGAGAAGCACCATGTGTTTTTCATGCAGTTTGTGCGTTTCTTTCTTTCTTTCTTTGCCAACATTTGCATTGAACATGTGCCTGTATGTGTTTGTGGGGAAAAGCCATGGGAAGCAAAAACAGCTGCTTTTAAAGGAGAGAGCTTTAAAGACTCAGACGACAGACAGATGATAGAGCAGACGTCTGATGGCGTCTAATAAGTCCGCTAAACTGACGTGCATCCTGGCAAAAGCACAGACGCACAGATTCAGAACAGCGAGATAAACACACGTATCCAACACAGAGTAGATCTCAACACTTTTTGCTCCCGGAGCCAAGATGACCTGAGGTACTTGGAGCAGCTGTAGCTGCAGGAGCTTCCCACTGCGCATTTGTTTTGCTTAATGTATGACAATCATATTCTTCCCCGTCCCTCGTAAAAATTTCATTTATGATTAACGGCTGCAGTTGTGTGTGAGCAAAAGCTTTTTTTAAAATTTCCCCCCAGGCCTCAGGTGGGAATCAATGAGGCGTTTTACGCGTTGCTGTGTTGTGGTCTACGTTACATCTTTGACGTGTCACGGTTTGTTAGAGACTAAAACGCCTGTTTTTGACCAGCTGTCCACCCGCCGGTGGAGGACTCTGTGCAGTGCTCTGTCCCTGTCTCTCTGTCTCTCACACAGACACACACACTATCTGCGAATGGCTGCGAAAGGTAAATAGAAAGCTTTTAAACTGTCGGCGGGACGCACAAAGACAGGAGATTATGGAAGAACCAAAGACACACACACACACACTCATTTTTTTGTCACTGAGGAAGAGACATTGACTTACATTCATTCACCGGAGGCCAGCTCTATAATCTCAACTCCACATGCCAAAATCCCAATTTAATCCCCTGAAATAACTGAAGAGATATTCTACCTTTTTGTTATTTTGACAACAAATCATTCAACGTTGAATTTAACCTTTTGATAACCACTGTTTTCATAGTCGAATCTGTGTTATTCTGTCTTGTTCTTATTTATTGCCCTAAAAGTTATTTTCCGTGCAAAACCTATGTGAAGTACATTTACTCCTTTGCTAGATTATTTTATTCTCTACACTCTAAAAAAATTCACTGTAAATTAACGGTATTTTACTGGCAGCAAGGACGCCAGGAATTTACCGTTATTTGGCGGTATAATACCGTAAATGTTTTTCACACTATGTTACCGTAAAATGGATTACTTTTTGTTACCGTGAACTTGAACAAATTTTTTCTGTGAATTAACTGCAATTTACTGGCAGTCGACGCTAGTAACTTACTGTTTTATTTACAGTGCTCTACCGTAATTTACGGTATGTTGACGTATATTGGATTACAGTTTTTTACCATACGATTACTGTTTTTGTGTTATAAATACCAGAATGTTACCGTTTACTTATAACCGTATAATTTTGCATTTAATTCCCCACAAATTAAAGAAAGACAACCAAACTAATTTTGGTCATACTGGTTGGAGTTTATGAGATGCCTTTAAGACAAAAATGTTCGGGATTTGTAACCAAGATCAAAGCATAAAATATGCCGCATGTATACAATAATAAAAAAATGAATCAAAATCATTAGGAACAAGGTAAACTAACTGCAACAATACGCTATGGAACATTTTCAATTGACCGCAGCAAACGGCTGGCGTCCTTAAACCAGTGCCTCTGTAAAACAAACCAAAATAAAATATTTAGAAACACTGTCATTGATAAATTATTAAAATTACAAAGATGAGGAAGACAACAAAATGTAAGGAAGGAGAATGTTAATCATGCTAGGAAAATAACACTTACCAACGTAAGACGAGGGGCGGCACGGTGGCGTGGTGGTTAGCACTGTTGCCTCACAGCAAGAAGGTCCAGGGTTCGATT